CCCCGCCCCGGCTATCAGCCTCTGAGGCCAGTCTCCCCAGTTGTATTTTACCACCAAGGTGTGGCAGGAAAGATGGCAGGGTGAATTTGACAGTAGGCTAGAGAGGGCAAATGGGACCGGATTAAGATAGCCATCAGGGAGCATTTCTGGTGCCTTTGGGGCTGGTCCTGTTGCACAGCATTTTTCTGAGGAGTAGGAGAGGTCTTTCAGCTTTGACCCAATATCACAGTGTGGACCTTCTGGTCCATCTCCCTGGCCATAAACTAATCCTTACCCCAGCTTGCCACTCGCTGATCTCTCTCTTCTGGGATACTCCCTTATTAGCCTGTAGCAGGGTTTCTAAAGCAGGGCTCCCTGCTCCCTCTTAAAGGGCCAGACCACCCTGTAAAAGGCATCCTACTGTCGCCATCTTGGCTTATCAACAAGGTAGGAAACCCTTCAACCGCTGCAGAAGCATCTGTCATTTGAGCATATAACTGTGGCTTTCAACCTCTGTTTATTTGCAGACCTCTCTAACAATTCAAAGGGTCTGCACCTCCATTCAGAATTTCAAGTGTGGGCATTCACTTACATTTGAGTGAATTTCAAGTGTGGGCAACTCCTCATTACAATTTTGATCTTTCTCTGGTCTTAGTTTGTCCCTCACTTGCTGTATCTCCCACTCTATCCTAAGCCAGTCTCTAAGTCCTCTTACCTAACCACTTCTAGGATCTTCTTCCTTGAATTCCACTCCCCTTTTACAGCTGATGTTACCTTCCTCCAGGTTTTTGGTTTTAGCCTATCCCAGTTTTTGTCAGCCAGTTCAGGCTATAACCAAAACAAAAACAAATGGAAAACATGTAAGCACTTGAAAGGATGGTATTACAATTTCTGACTTGCAGTACCTGGTCCTCACAGTAAAATCCAGAACCTTGTATTTGCCACTTAAGCCCTGCCCCTGTATTATGCACGGGGAGCTAGGTGTATCCCAATGGGATCTTCAACAGCTAGCAAGTTGAGTGAAATGCTGTTTCAAGTTAGATGAGAGGAAGCATTGACATCTGGATATAAGCCCAAAATTCAGGTACATACTATAGAAATAAAAGATTTGTTGGCCTTGAGTGAGGAAAAGCTAGTGTACATGACTAGCTTACTGATTTGGGGCACTCAGGTGGGTGTAGAACAATGGTTCTCAACATCTTTTATATGCAAGGCATCCTTCATTAAACTCAAAATATCCCAAGGTAGAGTCAAGGCACCCCTTGGAAAATGTCAGCTCTTTGTTTATACTTGTTTTTGCCTAAAGTAAAAATAATAGAGACATTCTTCTCTTGCAAAGAACCTGGAAACCACGGTCAGATGGTAGAGAGTGCAGATGAAAATACATAGCGTTAACCTTGCTAATCATGTTTTTGTACCAACGTTGTGTTGGACCCTTGAATGGATCTCAAGGCATGCCAGAGTGTTGTGGCACCCTGGTTGAGAAAAATTGGAGTAGACAATCCTGAGTTCTTGTCCTTTCTCCAATAAATCGTGGGGTTTTTTGTTGGGGTATTTGTGTGGCTTTGTTTTGTGTTTTACCCTGAAGTATCTATTCAGTGGAGACTGAAGCATGGGCCTCCTCCATTGTAGACAAAGGCACCAAGTTGTAGAGTAGAGGATTTGAAATTACTCAGGTGATATCTAACATCTTTTCCAGCTATACAGTTGGTCCAGTAAAGTATCTCTCCCTCAAAATTCCTGCCTGATATTTCCTGGACCATCACAGCTATAACAAAATTCCAGTCCTATACAGGCAATAAGGTAATTGAACCTGTGTTTTCCACATCATGGATGTGTTTTAACTATTAAACTGTTATACAGAACAGGTGTGTTCCTACCAGCTTTCCGCTGGAAATGTATTTTGAGAGGAGCCTGATCCTGTTATCATATGTTAAGTGTGCTTTAAGAGTACGGTATTCAGAGCACCTCAGAGGACTTAAGCAAAGGAGTACTTAGTTTTTGGATCCCAGAAGGATTTAGGTATGTACTAGATGCCAAATTATTCAGTTCTGTCCAGATAGTTATTTCTGGGAATGCATTAGAACAGCTCGAGGGACTTTAATGTCAAAACTTAGTGTTCATGCAGTCAAGGCAACTCCTGGGTTAGGCAGCAGCTGAGTGTAGTTTTCAGGATTGTAATTTTGGCTCTTGCTTAAATTGTGCTTAAAATCTTTAGATCTGTTCCTTTTGTCCTAATCTATTCCCTTCCTGGTCCTCTGCACTTTATTCAGGAATCATTCTCTCCTGTGCTATGTGGGTGGCAGCGCAGGGGTCATTGGTTGATGTCAGTTCCAATGTTTGCTATCAGACCTGCTGGAAGTTGCCATTACATGGAAGTTCTACCTTTCTCCTGTGTCCTAGGAAGAGAGATGAAGGGAACTCGCTTTTTTTATTCTGTGGAGATAATGCATATGCCATCTGGCCAACACAAGGAGTCATGAGAGTTAGGACCATATTTAGCAAGTCTTTAGAGATTCTAGCTGTTAAAATCAAATGGGTCTACTGAGATGGTATAGTTTATTTCCCTCTTCCTCCCTCAAGGCTTATAACCTGGCCAGATTTACATAGATTTTCATTACCTAAATAAGACCTGTTGCTAAATTCACATTTATGTTCATATTTATGAATGACAAGGTGAACTCTGGCATTTAAGCCAGGCTCAGATTGCAATAGTTATAGCCTATGCTTGATTATCAGAATTAAAGCTCTTTAAACACAATCCAAGTTATAGGTTTATTTGCATGGAAAGACTATCGTATAAAGAGCAAAATATGAGGTAATGTAAACTACACAAGCCTTTCTTTTCATAAAACAGATTCATTTGTCATAAAACGTTTTGTAGCCAGAGACCAAATAAAAACAGGATTCAGTTTCTGATCAATGTATAAGAACCCCACCTGATTCTGGATAAGTGACTGGGAGAAGATGAGGTAATTCACCAGGAAATCATTATATTCTTTTCTTGGGTTAATTGTACTTTCCATTTCCTTTAAAAGATCATATTTTTATGATAATGAGATAACACTAATGCTCAGGAACGTGCATTGGGTCCAAAAGAAATTCATATGAAAAAGCATAATATACTTAAAAAAAAAATTGAACTATACTTATATTTCAATTCTGTTTATAATTGCTAGGTAAAACATAGTGTTCAGTATCTCAGCAGCCTCTAGACATCATCTCATTCTGATTGTTAAGGATCTTGTTTGTGAGTTATCCTGAGAATGGGTGGGATTTTGTAAAAGCTCTCAGCATTGGCTTAATTCTCCTCTTGGGCTAGGGATAGAAGTTGCACACAACTGGTTTAAATCTGTAACAGAACAGAAGTTCAATGCACATAAACCACTTTCAAAATGGCTGAAACTGGCTTAAGATAAACCTAGTTGAATGTAATATCAAACTTAACTGATTTAGGTCAAACAGGTTTATGGAACTTCTGTCCCAGGCCCCTTCCTAGCTCAAGTTAAATCAGTCTCTGGCATCCCAGGATGCTTAGCCCTG